CTCAGAGCACATTGAAAATGACTGTGACTACCTTTATCCTCAGTTACCCACGGTTTAATAAAACCACTCAAGTGTGCGCCTGTGTGACAAATAACAGAAATGCTTCCTCATTTGGGGGTGCTAAGATAATCCTTTATCAATTTATTCTAGTTGCTTCCTCCAACAGACAAATACTGTGGTCTTGTCAGGATTGAGCATCAACTAGCCAGCTCTCATTCAGACCACAGTTCATAGGTACTGGGTTATTTGTGTAACTGCACTTAGATTTTTTTTTTCTAAGATTGGGACATGTGGGTCTTTATGCCCCAAACAATCTTCTAAGAGTTATGACCGTTATTAACATGGGTTCAGCTCCACTAGCATTAGGAGCATCATGAGTTGTTGTGTAAACTGGGCTCTGGATGTTTGTTATTTTTAATGCTGCTAGGTGTACTTGCTTATCCAATCAACATGGTATTAAGCTCCAGCTCAGTGCACAGTTCCATCATGTTGTTTAAAATGACAGCCGCAGCTGGTTCAGGCAACAGTAGGGGTTATAGTGCTGTTAACAATGGTGTGGCTAAATCAGATACAATAGGGGTAGGAAAATTTTAGAAAATGCCCCTCGTTGAGAAAGAGCCCTACTGAGGAAAATCATTTAGTGTGAGAGGCTAGACTTACGCTTTTTGATTACTTGTTAAGATAATTGCCCTTTTTAGGAGACTCTTCTCGCATCTGCAAAGTTAACTAAATTATGTGTCTTCTCTTCTTCAATAAATGTGCCCTTTTCACTAGAGCTAAGAGGTTTTTTATATCTTTGCATAATAATGTTAAAAGTTAAATTGTCCTAGAATAAAAGCTTAGAGCAAAAATGAATTAGATCAATAGTCTGCTCTCTTACCTCCTTCAAATATAAATCATTCATTTCAAGTTTTATAAAGCTGTGTAAAGATCAGAAACTTAAGTTGCTGTGCATTAGCACAGCCTGTATACAATTGCATGTTGAGAGTACTATGTGAGAAACAAATTTATTCTACATATTAAATATTTTGAAAAGCAATTTATTTACCTGTTGAGTACTCTAGATGTAAAGGTGTATAATTATCAACTAAGAAGCTTATCCATTCCCTTAAATAAATATTATTCCAATAGCTATTTCAGATGAAAGCAGCAGAGTTGGGGACTGAAATGAGATGAGCTCTTCAGAAGAAATTTCTACAATCCTATTAACCCAGTGCATTCAATTAGTCTATTTTTTATATATGTGAAATTTGGCAAAAGCTAAATGATTTTTGGAATCTCCATGGTACTGAAATATAAAAAGCTGTAATGATTCCAAGTGCATGGAATATGTTTTGATGGTTAACTATGTTGTTTATCTAAATGTGTCATACAGTAGAACTAGCTAAGTGCCAAAGAATCTGGGTTAATGTGAATTTTAAGTACGAATCTAGTTTGTTTCTTTGAGCATTTTTCATTTCATAATTTGATCTAAATAAGCCATTTTACTAGATTTAAAATTAGTTTGACTATTACGTTTACCAAGCCCATTTTATCACCTCAAAGTTGATCTTTGTAATACTTTTGCATTCTCAGCTGGTGTTTTGGAAACCGAAAATTTGTGCAGTTCAAATAACTATTTGTTACTTGAAAATAAGTTGGATTCTCAAAATACATGGAATATCTAGCAGTTAGTTGATTGTTGCCTTTTCCTTCAGACATTTGTACTGGATATGTAATGTGATGGGTTAAGGACAAACCTGTGTTGTTGTGGTAACAGAAAATTATGCCACTTGAAGTCTTTTGAAAGCCCCAGTACATTTATATTGGAGAAGAATCTCATTACTGACAAACTCAAAGTAAAGAACTATGGAAGAAATAATTTGAATTATTCAGATGTTGTTGGGTTCTGTAATCGCTCAGACTGGACATTACTGTGGACAGCTCATTGAAACCTCAGCTCAATGTACAATGGTGGCCACAAAAAAGCCAACTAGGTTAGTCTGATTATAATTTTTTTAATATTTTCCATTCCAGTTTTTGTCATACAACATATTATTACATACAGTAATAAAACAATAGTATTCCAGGTGGAGGACATACCCCCATTTTTGGTCAACTTGTGTTTAAAAAAGACAGAAATATAGGGTATTTACTGGTCAAAAATTATTAGATGCATACAAAGACTTTTGTGTGAAGAGACTAAAAAAAAATTGGCCACCTTTTATCTCCTATGTAACTAAAGGGGCTATTTTTAAAAAACAAACAATGAATGGTGTGAGAAAAGTAAGTGAGGTGCTTCATTTGCCTTTTCTTATAATACAAAAAACAAAACACCCAGTGTAGACACTTAGTGAAAGAGGAAGGTAACACATTTGAAACTGGAATACTGTCTCCTCACACACACACACACACACACACACACACACACTGAGTTTAGCGAATGTGAACAACATGTATAGTCACGTATTACTAAAGACAAATTTATTAGGATTTAAAAAAAGGAGATTTATGTGTATAATGAGAACATCCAGAGTTACATTGATTAGGATTAAATATCTATTTTTCATAGGGCCTGCTTCAGGGTATATCAGTCAACCAACAACTGCAGGGGTGGTGAGGAAATTTTCTTGTGGCCAGGCTACTCCACCACTGTCTGCTATAGAACTTCTTGCTCCTTTCTCTGAAGCATCTGGTAGTGGCGCTGCTGTTGGACCACTAATCCAGTCTGGAAATTCCAGTGTCACCATAGTCCGTTCCATCCTCAGCTAAATGTCTGTTTTCAAATTATCTGGCCTGTTTCACAGACTTGCACTATGCCTCTGAACAAATGGGGACACGGTTAAGATGATCCTCCCATACCTGATCACCTAACCTTTGTTAGCTTCAACTAATATTAAACCATTTTCATTTACTCACTTTGCTACTCTTTCAAGCCCTAATAGTCTTGAAGCACTATGGCACATCCATAGCAGCAGCAGCGACACAGACAGGTGGCAAGAATCTGTGAGCTGCAATCCCATTTAATCTTAGGAGGCTCAACCTAATCCCTGGTGACTGACTGAGAGCCCAGTCAGTGTTTCCATCTACCCTCTCCTTCCCCCTCCCCTCCCCCCCACTTGTTAATATGGTGATGAAGTGGAACCTGCTCAATAACCTCTCTCTCTGTGCAGGAACAAGGCTATGGTTGCTAGGCAGGTAGCTCCTGAGGGCCTAAGAAAGACACCACCATAGATCAGGACATAACCACAGTATAGTCTTGGACTGGATGCCAACCTGGTCAGACTTGAAAAAGTTCAACATATGAGTTATTACTCTTTTACTCTGTTGAAAGGTCTTAACCTCTCTCCCACAACCATTGTCAAAATGGGTTCCAGACAGAATCCTCCTAGAAAGATGTGGGAGCAAATTACTTAATTACAAGCAAAATGCACATGTAAATAAATGCATGTGTAAAATACAAAAGCAGGTGGAAAATGTTGACCTTCAGGCTACTGAACTCCTGCAGTTTCAAGTAGTAGAGGCAAGGCTGTGGTTTTCCTACTTCATAGATGTCCACCTCTTGGCTGGAAAATCACATGTTCCAAGGTATCCTCCGAGGCCTAGAACCTCTGTAGTACTGTTTCCGTAGCCACCCCATTGCAGCATTATTCTTTCAGGATCTCCCGTTACTTTCCCGCTAATGCCTTGCTTAAATCTTACATCTCAGTCTCTTTCAGGAAGATTTTAAAGGTCCAGAATGTAAAGTAGTGCACACAAATTACTCCTGACAGCCTTAACTTGTTTGTTTTCATAGTGATGATGCTGTAGGACAGGCACTGTCTTTGCTTCCCCTCCCCCTCTCCTTATCCCCAGATGTATGGGAAAGCCAGGGAGTCCCCACTGTTTGTGCAAGATGTGGAGTGAAGGGCAACAGTGTTCTTCTTCTCTCTTCCTGTGACAGATTAGGTCCACAAATAGCAGGTTTTCTTTTCCTTTTACCCTGTCTGTGGCAGAGACATTGCCATGGGCTTGTGCTGTTCATAAGCAACTCTGATCTATACAATATCACTCCAACTTTCTTCTAAAATATAGAAGAGCTATATAAGAGCTAGGAATCATTATTAAAAAGGAATTTATGAAGGTAATATCCAAAAGAATAGCTGATGGATTTTTATTGGTCATCAGCATTTTTAATGGCATTGGTATTTCTGTTTTTCTGTTTGTCTGCAAATGGAGGAATGGGGGCCCACATATAGTCCCTTCCTTGGGGGGCGGGGTGTGTGTGTGTGTGTGTGTGTGTGGAGTAGAGTATAGAGGGTACATAGTTCCTGGCATGAAAGAGGGGAAAGAAGAGAGCTACAAGGAATCCCAGAAATAGAGAGAGATGGGAGGTGGCACAGAGAGAGCTGGTGGGGGGAATGGAGGAATGCAAGGAACCCCTTGATGCGTGCAGTGTGCTCTGCCTACAGAAGCTACAAACTGTGAAACCCCCTAGTTTCATTTTTTGTTAATCTTCTAATACAGGGTTTCTCACTAGATGTGTTCCTATTTCTGTTCCATCTGCTGTGCTAAACCCATCTTTGTATGGAATGATGACAAAGCTGCATTTTTATTTTATGTTCAAAGAATCCAGTAATGTAGAATGCCACAGTTGTCTTCTAGTTTATAGGAAAATCTGGCTAATTTTTGTTAACACGGTTATGCTGTATGAATTAACATGAGAATCTTTTCTCCTCTGGCGCTCCTATCATTGAGAACAGACTTCCGTTTCTGTACGGGTGCTTGTATACACATGACATTATAGGTTTCAGAGTAACAGCCGTGTTAGACTGTATTCGCAAAAAGAAAAGGAGTACTTGTGGCACCTTAGAGACTAACCAATTTATTTGAGCATGAGCTTTCGTGAGCTACAGCTCACTTCATCGGCTCACGAAAGCTCATGCTCAAATAAATTGGTTAGTCTCTAAGGTGCCACAAGTACTCCTTTTCTTTTTACATGACATTATAGTGATTTCTTATGTCTTCATTTTATTTTCTAGGTGGTGATCCGTAGTAAAAATGGAGAGATTCTCTACCGTATTTCACCTTGGGCCAAATATGTAGCACGCGTAGATAGAAATGTGAATTATGATTGGATACACTGGGAACCACCACTGCCATATCTAGTAAGGCTTATTTTATATTTCAAAAGCTTTTAGAAGTGCATGCAAGGCATGTTTTATGATGTGATTTCTGTCATGTCACAATCCTTTTATTTTTATTTTTTGGGGTGCGTTCTAATTATAACACGAGTTACTTTGCACATGGTGTATCAATATTATAGTTAAGCATGAGAAGACATTTCCATTGTAAGCGCCTATTTTAATGCACTTATTGTTTTTTGAAAAAAATGTACTTGAAATCTACTGGTCTGCAGACCAAGCCCTAAAGCCATACTAAAAAAAAGATGTTCTGCTGTGCCCACATGGACCTGTCCCCTGCAGTTTAAAGGAATATGTGGGAGCATACTGCTCAGTGAATGCTGTTTGGCTGATCAACTTACTCTTCAGTATTGTTTTAAGTGTAATGTACTATTTGTGTCTTTTGCTTTTGTTTTTTCCTATCTTGATTTCACGCAGTTATTCTCATAATTGATCAGTGTCTTTTTTCCAGTGTTGTCATCAGTTTATCACTTCCCTGAGCCCCTTAAGTGCTGAAGAGTGTTGGATATTATATTTTCCCCCTAGCCTCTTGTTCTTAGCCTCTCTTCAGCAGCAGAATGAAATGAGTCTTATTCTTTTCAGTATCTCTGCTGTCTGCAGGGTTCTCAATAGCTGTAGTGAAAACTCACAATGATTGGTCAGTTTTCACTTTGCTATGGTAGAGTGTGAACTTAGTAAGAACACCACATGTAGGAACGGGAGTATCAATTATTTCCAGCAGCAATATCTTTGTTTTCAATCAATGAGGCAGTCATCCCTTCTACTTCTAGCCAACTGGATGATTTTAGGATCTTCTGAGACGACTTATGCTGCATGGGAGACACCCTGGAGATTCATGTGGAGGTACTGCAAGAAAAATCTCATAAATGACTAGATCTTCTGCCCTCCTCCAGGCATGGTAGGCTTGCCACGTCTGTCAATGAGGAGTTATTGGAACTAGTTATGAAGTTGTGGCAGATCCCAACATCTGTGGCACCCACATCTAAGTAAGTTGATACATGTTATCAAGTTCCCTCAAAGAAATTTTTAAGGTTCCTGCATCTACTGAGTCTCAAAACGCTGGTGGTGACAGCAGTGAATAAAAGAGCCAAACAGCGATGGTCTCCAAATATGACACGCACAGAGAAGGACCCTACAAACTTGACTTTTTTAGTAGAAAAATCTATTCCCCAGATTGTCTCCAGATGTGAATTTGAAATTATCAAGATCTTCTGTTAAAACACAACTATCTCACCTGGGACAAGGGTGTCACAATTAATATAAAAGCTCCCATAGGAACACAGGGGGGAGCTAAAATCTGTAGTGCTCAAAGGACAGTTAATAGCCCAAACATAACAATGGCTGCTTCATCACAGGGCTTCCGGGCTCCATTCTTGTGGAATACCCAAAGAGCCCAAACGTCAGTGGAGGACCTTCCATAGGTGCTATAGTAATAAAAATAATAATTTGAAGTTTGTGATTGATGAGTGTGCAAACAGTTGAAGGCCTTTAATCATTAAAGGATTTGAGAGCCACTCTCTGCTCATTGAGCATATACTTGCCAGCACCAAGGAGAAAGCAGATCACAGCCTCAGCCTGATGATGCTTTGGGATATCTACACCTTGCTACTGTCACCCACATATAGTATTGGAACCACAATGGAAGGAGCAAAGGCTCCAGTGCAGGAAACCCTCTCCCACTGCATCCTTGGTGCATGCTGCTTCACAGCAACAGGTTTGATTTGATCATCAAGAGCTAATCAGAACCATTTCAGGAGTTATACCCCCTCGTTGCCCCCCCCCCCCACACGTGTGTGCATGCGCACACACTTAATGACTACTTTTTTTTAAATTGTTGAGGAATTCTGGAACCAGATCACCTAAGACGACTGAGTCCTGAAAACTATTTTAAAAAGGGGTATTTTATCCAATTCCAGGTCCATACTAGCCCAACCCTTCTTCCCTTTTCCTTTCCAGGGACCCCTCTTACAAGATACTGTTAAATCAAGAATTAGATACCCTTTTGCAACTTGCAACTCCCATTACTTTTTATTCCCAAAGAATGGAGGTTGGCATCTGATTATAGACTTTGATATCACAGCAGATTCATCCGTAACTACAAGTTCAGGATGCTAACCCTGGTCTCAATTATCCCCTCATTAAATACTCAAGATGGATTTGTGGTTCTCAGCTTTGGGATGCTTCTTTCTGTCTGTCCATATACCTAGCACAGAGAGAATACTTCATAGTGAGGGACTTACTACCAATACATGGTCCTGCCCTTTAGTCTTTGCATGGCACCAACACATATTCAGCAAGAGTGTAGCAGGCACAGCCCACTTAAGAACACATTACAGTCTGGTATATTCAGACCTGGACAACTGGCTGATCTGTGTAAAATTTTCCCAGCAGGTGATCAATGACCAGCTTGATTCACATTGTCTTACGGCCCTTTACCACATAGGGGCTCCAAATGAACATGGGAAAATCCTCACTTTGCTCACCCAAACTACAGAATTTATAGGAGTAATGTTAGATCTGAGGTCAGGAAGAGCTTAGCTACCACAGGAGAGGTTCCAGGCAATGGGAGGACTCCTCAATCTGCAGGCTCACCCTCCAGATGCATCCTTCTTTGGTGACATGGCCTTCTGCACCCATGTCTCAATATGCCAGACTTTACCTATGTTGTATGCAGAGAAGTTGAAATCCATGTATCTATACATAAAGCATCATATGGATATGATGGTGGAAGTCTTTCAAGAAGTCTTCTCACTATTAGGTTGGTGGAAGGATGCGTTCCACAACCTGCCATCCTTTTCTTTCACTACAAAGTTCGATACTACCTGGATTCTTTATTGATGAAGGAACTGAGAGGCTGTTGGGCCTACTTCACCATGTCCGCAGGTGTGTGGGGAGGCCAGGGGGACATCTAGAGTGCAATCGTGGCCCAAAGGACACTGATAGCCAAAAATACAGTCCCCCTCCCATGGGGCATATGTGGACAAGAAGTGGAATGCATGTGGACAATTCAGCTCAAAGAGCCAGAGTAAATAACTATTCTTTCCCCCTTTCTTCCCTCTCCCCACCCCTTTTATTTTTTGGCCACTGTGTGCAGGAAAGTATTTGTTGGGCTTTTTTCAACCCTCTTTCAAAAGTTTTATTTCAAAAAACTTTTCCAATTTGGAAAAGTTCAGCTGACAAAAGGAAAATGAAATGCAGTGACTTTGCCACCCTGTAACCTTTTCCAAATTTGGAGAAATTTTGAAAAAAATAATATGGGGAAAAGTTTGTATTTGTGTTGGTGCTGGTGGTAGCGAAAACCTTGGACATGAGTCCTTTTTGACATTGAATGCAATAGAATGAAAGGAATGGATGGCAGGGGAGAGAGAGAATAAATTCAAAACTTGGAAAATTTTATCCCAACAAATTTCCTGGGAGGGGAAAAAAAATCAACTTGGAATACAAACTCCTTACCTGAATTTTTTTCAGAGGTTTTTTGACCTACTCTGGTAGTAACATTTGAAAGGTTGTCTTTCGAACTGTACTTAATGAATGCTTATATTCTGTAAAACTCCGTTCCACTCAGCTGGGAACTTTTCTACCTGATATTGACAAAGGAATTTTTATGTCCTGCACTAGACAGAAGAATGTGCTTTACTTAAAACCCTCCCTCTCAAAAAAACCCCAAGAAGCAAACAAAAAAAAAAAACCCAAAAACTTTTTTCCCCATTAAATTGAGTAGATCTGACTAAGAATACAATCAGCAGACCAGTTTTCTGTGTGCTGTTTTAAAGTCACTTTTTCACAAAATCAGCACTTCAATACATTGGTGCAATGAAGTTATGGAAGTACTGACCGTAAGGATGTCAAGTAAAGAGTGGAAGAAAAAAAAATCAAAGAAATTGATCAATCTCCATATTGGAGTAATTTTTTTTTGTATTTACAATTTTAATTGCATTAATCTAGAGGGAATATGTTGCATTACAATTTTCTTACCTGATTTTAAAATCAATATACTGGTTCTTTTTTCTCTTACTTGTGTAAACGGTGTGTTTATATAACAAGATTGACATTCTCAGATGCTGTGTTTTAATGACAACCATTTTCTATTCAATAGCGCAAACATCCTCAACCAAAGAAACCAAAAAGCTTAAGAATTTATGAATCTCACGTGGGAATTGCTTCCCCAGATGGGAAAGTTGCTTCTTATAAAAACTTTACGTATAACATACTACCTAAAATAAAGGATCTTGGTAAGTAACATGCTTCTTGGTGAGATGCATATAGAGAGAAATTTGTAATGAGTTTCTGCTCTTATTGGAAAAGATAATGGAGTGTTTTGGGGTGTGGGGAATGAAGCTTAAATGTACTATAGAAATTTATTTTTAGGGTATTAATAATTGCTTTAATTAAATAATGAAATGAAATGGACAGGAATTAGGGTATATGGATCAAAGATACTCTCTTTTACAGTTTTAAGTAAAATTTCATTCCTTAGAACTAGATAAATATTTGTCATTTACTTTCAGTCTGAAAACAAAGCTGTATTAATGCCAGACACTCATTACAAATAATTGAAAACAGATTACTTGCCGATGTACCAGCTACATTTTTATTTTTCTATATATGTATAGAAAAAGTACTGTATCTAGTTTTACTAAGTTTATTATGTGAAGTGTGACAATTTTAAGTGATAATTTGAATGTTCCAGTATTACATAGCAAGTAACATGAGCAGTTCTGTTTAGGAAAGAATTGTGGTGTATTATTGTAACTGTATAGGCTGTAGATGAAATTGTTGGAATGATTATCTAAAAAAAAAGCTAATTATTTATCTGATTTTGTGCTTTAAGAGTTGTTGCACTTTGGCACATAAAAGATTACATGAGCACTTGCTAGCCATTACCCTACAATGATGATATGCCCTACTGTATTTGGAACTGGAAATAACTATGCTAACCATATTTGGTATCTATGGCAAACGTTGGCATATTAATGACAGCTAGTAAAACCAGATATGAAGTCAAACACTAGATACGCACAGAGCTCATCCACACACTAACAAAACCAGCCATAAATAAACTATAATGATTTATAGTAAAGTCAGTGTTTGACCAAAAAAAAAAAAAAGGCTTTAGTCATTCACTACAGTTAAGCTGACTGCCAGAGTGAGTAAGTTTCTGTATTTGGGGACCCCCAATCAAAATAAGCTAAAAATACAGAGTTAACACTTGATCTTGTGATGCTGTTATTTTCTCTTGTAAACTAATCTTCTGCTTTCCAGGAGGCTAATATATTCAGTAGAAATCTGAAAGCATGCAACTCTGCCTACAGATTTTTCCTTAGGGGAGGAGGAATGTCATGGATATAATGCAAAATGGTGTCAGACAACAAAATAACAATAATATAAATGTATCCACAATATCAGTCATTTGCCTGATTTAAATTGTATCTACCTGTTTGTAGCCAGACCTACTTAAGGATTTGTTATTTTTAATAATTCTCTTAAGGGGCACTCTTTTTGTCAAAATGCTGAAATATTAAAAGTGTGAAGAAATATACACAAGGCAAACAACAAGATAAATTGTAAGCAAATAAAATGATAGTAATTTCAAATAGTTTGTACTGTTTATTTACAAAAATGCTGTGGGTAACCATGCAACGATCCGCAATTATATAACGGCTATATACCTTAGACAAATTGCTAAGCTAATGCCAGCCCCTTTTTTTAATAGTAACTATTTGACTTTGAGGGCAAAAGTAAGCATGACGTCATAGCTAAATTAAATAAACAGGATAAAGTTAGGCGGAAACATAGGCTAAACGATATGCTGAGGATTTGAGTTAAAACAAATAATAAAGAGAAGCTGTGGTCTCAACAGGCTTTTCAAATAGACCTGAAGGTTATCGCTTGCTGATAGGACATTTTTTTGCTGATATTAGAGTTAGCTTAGCAGAGATTTGTTTTAGGTACCACAGTTTCATCATTAAAATATAATTTTTCCCTTTAGATTTTTTTCATTTAATATCATAGTGAAACACTTTTGGGTTGAATAAGGGACCAAAAAACTAACAAACCCCAAACTTTTTCTTGGTTCTCAGCTGTTTCAGTAAGCTCAAAACAGAATTATACAGCTTTAATGTTCTTTTTGAAAGATTCCTTGAGGGAAATGAGTTTGGAAAGAAAATATGTAATGATTAAAGACGGAAATAAAATGTGTTTGAAATATTAAGAAAAATCTTGGTAAAGCACAAGATATAGCACTATTAATCAGTTACTCTTACTTTGCTTTCATGACAACTCTGTAAATATCAAAAGTGCATCTGAAGTTCAGGACATGCAGATTGGTGGTGTTAATTTCACTTCAGAATATTAAGATTATATTTGCATATCTTTTATTGCTTGTTCAAACTGATAGATTCAATATATCTATTCATATGTAGATCACCTGAGAAACTGACCTTCCTATTTTTTATGGGAAGGTCATACAAGTATAAAATGTTAAAATGGCATTACTTTTAAGAAAGACTGAGTCTGTGGTTAATTATTAATTGGACATTAGAGATTTAGAACCAGATAAAATAAGGAGAAAGAAGCAGTTTAGACATATTTGAAATACTAGAAAAGTTAATTGTATATCAAATTATTATTTAGACATGTAACTGTGGGATTTTTTTAACAGGATACAATTGTGTTCAGCTGATGGCTATTATGGAACATGCTTACTATGCCAGTTTTGGTTATCAAATCACAAGTTTTTTTGCAGCATCAAGGTATGTTTTCTAAGGACTTATGCACACCTTTCGCTTTTTTCTGTGGTTGGTGAAATAGTATTTAAATGTAGACAAATAGCACAATCTAATGCACTGTAAGAATTCTGACATCATATCCAGACCTTGCTTTGTATTGAGTTTTTTTCTTCTAATAAATCAAACCAGCTGTCTATAATTATCAGTTCTATATAAAAGTTTAATATAGTGTACAGTACAATAGAAAGGTCATGAGAAATTTTAATTGGCAAAGCATTTTGATCCCAGCTTCTGCACTTTAGGATCTCAGCTGTGTGTTTTTTATCCATAGAAACTGTTGTACAAAATTGAGAATTCTCACAAATGATGTCCAGCATGTTTTGTTGTGGTAAATAAAAGCATCTTTAAGGTACTTGTTCATAACAGGTATTGCTTAATCATTTTGCTTTACAAAAAGGGTAGTCATGTAATGAAATGACTGGTTGCACATCCTATAGGAATTAAATTTATTTCATACTCATAGCAAACTGTATTTAGATGGCTTTGAGGCCCATCAGCTTGTAGAAATAGGCGATGGTTAAAGATAAATTGTTCAAGAAAATGAAGGTAAATTTGAATGTTATGTTTAAGCTTCATCAAGAAGAAAACTGACAAACTGAAAAACTTAGGAAGCTTTAATTGGTTTTATTTAGCTGAACAAATTGCACATTGTATATTGAGACAGCCTTTGATGATTTTAAAAGAATGAAGTGAACTCTAATAATGGCACCAAGTAAGTAAATGTCGGATAACAACTTGCAAAGAGGTGGCAAATTTTGGGTGGGGGTGTTATTTTCATTATTTCATACTCATTTGAATCCATAGTAGTTTCCAAGTCATGGATTATTTAATTCTAATCATGTAGAAATTTGTGAAGTTTGTGTACTAAATAAGAAAATAGTTTACATTAAATATGAAAAGTACAGGTGCAAAGTGTGTTAAACTGCTTAAAAGTAAGACTGTAAAAGTTGAAATGTGTTTCATAAATATCCAAGACTAGTTTTTGTTTTTCTTTTTCCCTGAAGTGATTGGAGGAAAAAGCTCAAATTTGGGGGCAACCCTACTTTTTAAAACTTTGAAAATGCCTAAATGATGATTTATAATTTAGTCAGCATATAGTGTACTGTTTTGTTTAAATGTCTTTATTGTCAGTTTGTATTGCACAATTGCTTCTCCAACAGGGGGAATTGTGACTATCTGATGATCGATCATTCCCACTACATGGGAGTTCCCTAGTAAATTACGTAAGCTTTTATCTGTTAACTCTATGAATGTATAGTTTTCTGCATAAACCGTATTCAGCCTTTTTTTTTTTTTTTAAATTTAGGTTACCTCTGCCTAATGCATTGTATTTTCATGCTTGCAGCCGTTATGGAACCCCAGATGATCTGAAGGAATTGATTGACGTTGCCCACTCATTGGGAATTACTGTTCTATTGGATGTTGTACACAGCCATGCATCAAATAACTCTGAGGATGGTCTGAACAAATTTGATGGTACAGATTCCTGCTTTTTCCATTCCGGTCCTAGAGGAACGCATAGTCTTTGGGACAGCAGACTTTTTGACTATTCAAAGTATGTACAAAACCATGTAGCAGTTTTTAGTGGTAATTATTTTTCCTCAGTTACACTAAAAATTGAATGTTCGCCAAATTAGAACAGTTCTATACTGTAAATATAATCGATGCAACAGTTTGCATACATAAAATGTATTGTCTGCAATCTAAGGGCTTGTCTAGATGGGGAATTCACAGGGTAGTTAGTGCATAACAGCTATGGTGTGAACTCAGAGTGCAAAAGTTATTTCACACTAACCCCTAACTTTGACAGTGGATTCACCTAAACTACACAAAGGTACTCTTAGCCCTGGTCTACACTAGTGTGGGGGTCGACCTAAGATACGCAACTTCGCATAGCTGAAGTCGGCGTATCTTAGGTCGACTTACCTGGCCATGAGGACACCGGCGAGTTGGCTGCTGCCACTCCCCTGTCAACTCCGCTTCCACCTCCTGCGAGCTGGAGTTCCGGAGTCGACAGGGAGTGCGTTCGCGGATTGATTTATCTCATCTAGACAAGACGCAATACATCGATCGATCGCTACACGCTGATCCGGGGGGTAGTGAAGGCCTGCCCTTAGTGTGGAATAAGAGTTTCCACCCATGGAGCTAGTGCAGGATAGCTGTTGAGCAATAGCTATTCCTCACTAGTTATTCAGGGCTTTTCCCTGTATAGAGAAGACCTAAGTAATGCTCTACATTTAATCTTGTGTGTTTATGCATTTATATCATCCTTCTTACCATAACAGGTGTGTTCCTAACAAATCATTACTACAGCATAAAGGTTTACATTTGGTACATTTTTTGTTTTTTCCTCCCTCTGAGGCAGCACGGATTAGATATCGATACATAGTAGTCATCTTTTTTCCATATTAAGCTGATTATTTCAGTGATGTGGCTGTGGGAAAGCTTAGTTGCACAAGTGATGACCACAAATCTCACCACTTTCAGAGAAGAGTTCCATAGGCTTAGGCCAGCTGCCATCAGAACTCCTCCTGTTGCTTCCTCAAACCTCAAAGGTTTCATGCTTTGAGGTTGACAGTGTCATAGTTTCGAAGGATTGTAACAGTCTAGGGAGGTCACTGTTTCAGAGGAAATCTGTTGGTAATTTAGGCCAATCTCATGGAGAGCCCTGAAGACTGAGGGTTTCCACATGGTATTGAGTAAGTGATTGGTGTAATGTGATACATAACATAAGCACTGTGCCATTACATAGGATGAACTGTTTCTATCTTACCTTCTGATTAAAATAACTTCTTGGTAATTAGACCTTAATTAACAAATACACTCAAAATTCATGATGACAACGGGATGTATTGTCATTACTGCTAATCATAACTGCTTGGTGTTACAAGACTTGCAGTTACTCTCTAAACCTATATTCAGATTACTTGAGTCACAGTTTGCTATGACCCATCCCAAAATTTTAATTTCAATACATGGTTACATATTATGTACATATGTTAGATATTATATCTAAATAAATGCACTAAATCCATTTCTCCAGAACAAGGCAACTAATTGGCCTTTCTAGAAGAAAGGTCGAGATAGTGGAACTTGTATGGAATACTAAAGCTTACCCCTCTATTTTGGATTAACATTTAAATCCAGTTTGAAGGTGTCACATTCCTTCCTTCTTGCACAGTAGTTCATCATCTCTTAATTCCACTGGAAAAAAAGGACATGATCATTTCAGGTGCTTATTTCACTTTGAATACCTTTAGACATCACTAGAGGTGACATTAGCTCTACAAATTTGGTTATTTTTTACGTGTTTCCTGATGTAAATGTTTCCATAGCAGAGTTCAGCAGACCTACAAATGGATTGTGACGAATCATCTCTAATGAACTGGGGAGGGGGAGTTGAATAATTAAGACTTGAGGCCAGGGATGAATTAAATAGCTCCTTCCAGAAGGGAACTTAATGCCCTCCTGAAGTCATGTAATGACACAGAGAATATGCTTATATTTCATGCTTGTATTTCATACAACTTGCTTAACTTTTAGTTTGGTTTTCAACATGTGTTGCCTCATACAAGTTAGAGGTTCAAAGGTTAAGCAAACTTTGAGACATTCTCTGTGCTCTCACGGGGGAGGACCACTGTGGCTTGGTTTGTTAGCTAATGGGTAAAATTTAATGTTCTGTGATTTGTTTCCTCAACAAAAAAGTATCTCTAGTAAATGTAGATCTTCTTTTTTTCCAAAATTTTGTGTGTTCCTATAGGTCATAACACACTGGCTTTAGGTCCAAAATTTCCTAATGTAATCCTACTACTTGTAGCAAAGATATTTTGCCTCAACCATTATACTGGGAATTTATAGCAAAGGTTCAGTGTCAAAACATTCAGTACTTGACATGGTTTCATTTAGATTATGCAGAAAAGGTTGAAGGTTTCCTTATATGGGAGTATATCTTGAACAAAACCAGAGTGGGACTAGAATCAAAGTTTGAGTCTGTCTAAGACCTATCTTATTCAGCTGTTCCAGGTGTTGATTGATTATAAGGCATGTTAACATTCACACTGGCACATGAGTGGATCTAATGTCCAGAACAGGCATGTGTAAGAACAGTTGGGAGTAGACATTGACTGCTTACAGGGCTTCAGACTTTCATTTCTATTTTAAAAAGAAAGAAAAAGAAAAGAAAAACAGTTAAATAACATACTGAAGTTTTACTTGCTAGACAGTCTCTTCAGTCTTCTGTTCATATAAACTTTTCTACTGTACAGCACGTGCCCCAAAATCTCTCTTCTCTACTGGGAATAACTGTTAAATCTACAGCTACTCAAACCTCTAATACAACGAATGCAAAATTTTATTTCAGAATCCAGAGAAACTAGTTCTGTTCCTTGGAAGAGATTAAGAAGCAGTTGGTTTATCAAACTAATCCGTCTGGATTTCAGTTTGAAAGCCAGGACCTAAAGAAATATAATTTGTCTCACAAGGTTTCAAGGTTATTCAGTTGGGTAGGAGGGTGACTGTGAATGCTAAATAAAACAGAAAGTGGCAAGGATCTGTAGACACTTCCATATAAAGCAAAACCAAGGGACTTGTACCTTGGGTGTCATTTTGAAGTCTCTTGGTCTGATTGTCCTATCACTTATTTTGGTTTAAATGGAGAGTGACTTTAATTAAATCAATAATTACATAGGTGACCTGTGTTTTGAATCTCCAGAAAAAGTGCAATGTATCTTGGAATTCACTTTTGAAAGCTTAGAGTTGAAGGGGACAGAGAGCATGGGGGAATGAAAGGAAGGACTGTTCTCCTGTGATGGTGGGGGAGGGGGGAGAATGGGGGTGGCAGGGGTGAAAGTAATTTAAAGGACTTGCCGGTACTCCAGAGCCCTGAGGAGGGGGCGGGGCCTCTACCGGAAGAGGCAGGGCCTTTAAATCCCCAGGCCCTTTAAATCAGGATTTAAAGGCCCGGGGCAAGAGCTGTGGTGGTAGCAGCAGCTGGGAGCCCTGGGCCCTTTAAATTGCTGACGGAGTCCCGCGGGTCCAGCAGCAGGGCCCAGGGCTCTGGCTGCCGCTACCCTCCAGAACCCTTTAAATTGTCCCTGGAGCCTGTTGCTGGAGCCCTGGGGTAGCGGCAGCGGGGCTCTGGCAGCTATTTAAAGGGCCCGGGGAGGTAGAGGCAGTGGGAGCACCGGAACCTTTAAATAGACACCAGAGCCCTGCCGCCACTATCCCAGGACTCCGGCAGGCTCCAGGGGCTATTTAAAGGGCCCGGGGCTCCTGCTGTCTCTACCGCCCCGGGCCCTTTAAATCATCCCCGGAGCCCTTGGGTAGCAGCAGTGGGGCTACAGCGGCGATTTAAAGGACCCGGGATGGTAGCGGCGGCAGGAGCCCTGGGCCCTTTAAATCACCACCCGAGCCCTGCTGCCGCTACCCCAGGGCTCCAGCAGCAGGGTTCTGGTAGCAGATTAAAGGCCCAGGGCTCCAGCCACAGCTGAGAGCCCCAGGCCATTTAAATTGCCGCCTGCGGAAGCCGATCCGCCCCAGTTTGGTGCACCGGCTCTTGCTGGCAGTGGTGGCAGGTTTGTAGAAATTTTGGTGGTGCCCAGAACCTGCCCCCCCAACTCTGCCCCCCCATCCCCAAAATTCCACCCCCAACCTGCCCAAGGCCCTGGGAGGGAGTTAGGATGGGGGAGGAGGTCTGGGGTGCAGGGTGCAGGCTCTGGGAAGGAGTTTGGGATGGGATGGGAGGGGTTGCGTAGGGAGGGGGTGCAGGTTCTGGGAGGGACTTTGGGGATGGGAGGGGGTGCAGGGGTGAGAGTTGTGGGGTGAGGCTGGGGATGGGTTTGGAGTGTGGCTGGGGATGAGGGGTTTGGGGTGTTGGAGAGGCTCAGGGCAAGGGCAGAGGGTCGGGGTGTGGGAAGATGAGAGCTCTGAGGTGGGGCAGGACTGGGGACGAGTTTGTGGTGTAGGCAGGCTGCCCCAGGACTGGAGCCACAGAGGACGACTCCCCCCAGCCCTCTCCCCACTGGCAGCAGCAAGCTCTGGGGTGGGGGCCCCCTCCCACCCTCTCCCCCCGGCAGCACACTCACCCCTACACTGTCACTGCACATGCTCCCACGGCCCCTCTGAGGTACAGAAATTTCCCTCGCCCCCCTGTGGTGGGTACCCGGGGGGGGGGGCGCGGGGGAGCTGCCATCACATGTGCACCTCGTACCCTGCTGCTGCCCCTCACTGTAGCCTCACTGGGTGTGGAGGATGGGGCTGCCCCTTTCCCAGCATGGGGCAGGAGTGGCAGCTGTACTGGTGGAGGGTCCTGCTGAAAAATGAAAGGGTCTGAGGGGGAAGGGCAGGGGAAAGGCAGCCTGCCCTGCCACTAGTGGATGGGAGACACTAGGATCCTGCAGCGGCAGTTGATGCAGGGAGGCAGCATGGAGCTGCAGGGAAGAGACAGGGATGCTCTGCTCCAGGACCCAGGGAGGCTCGTGGGGGCAACAAGGGGGGCCAGGGGACACTTGGGGTAGGTGTGGGGGGGACAGCAGGTGGGACCGGGGGGAGACCTGC